AGTGACGTTTTCTGCACGTGCTTAGATTGAATTTTTTAACTAAACTTTAATATTTTTATAAAGTTCGCATCTAAATCAGCCGCATTCCTCACACAATAACGCATCTGAATACAAACCCTTAAGCTGATTAATAGTCAAAATAAACACTTACTCTTAATAATAAATCCTTTGGATTAAAGTTTAAGATGAACACAATCCTCAACACAACTATCACTACACAAATACATAGAAATCAATTAGGTTACATCATTTTACAAAAAAAAAATTAGGAGCACAGTGACACGACCGCTCCTTTTTAAACTGAATGTTTATATGCCGGGGCGCTTGCGCTCGCGCAGGCGTCGCACGTGCGAAGGAAGGGAATTACTGGAGTCAGCAGAACAATTGGGGTTCCGCAGTAAAGCTTTTCGTAGATGACGCAGTGTCACTCTAAAACTGTCAAACCTTTTTTTTTGGATTATGGTATGTGTACCATCAGAATGACAGACAGACATGACATATAAAAAAAAGTAAATTACAAAAAATATTGTTATTGTTTTATTTTTTTGGTACCAAATAAATGATTTTTCTTTCTTTCTTTCAAAAACTGTTTAGTCGAAATCGATAGATTAGGTCAAAACTTAATATACAGTTAGGGTTAGATGGGCGCAGGTTACGAACCTGCGCGTAGGTATTTTTTTTAAATTATCAGGTATCGCGGAGTTGTATAGCATTCGTCACTCGCACCCTCACATATGCCCTCACTGAGCTCGCAGCTACGAAGCTGATTGAAAGGCGACTAAGGGGTGGTTTAAATTTTAATCAGTTTAAAATTGCTAAAAACTGCAACTGATTAAAATTTTAAAAAATAAAGACAGTCATTAAATTGTTATTTTTTTGTGTTTGTTTTGTTATGGCATGGCTCACAAATTCGTTTCTAAAACCGGTCTGCTCTGAGGCCTCCGGTGCCCTACGCGGTTTCATTCAAGGCAGGGTCCGTCACCGGTCACCGACATGGTAGAAATATGCAAAAAAACATGCGAATAAAATACCACACCGTCTGGCGGAATAAATACGCAGGTTGCAATGTGACTTTAACATTTATTTAATGCTACTGCTAATAACCTTATCTGCTAATAATCCATCTGCCGCCATTCACTATAACTATGTTGGCGGCGTGCTCAGATGCCCTCAATGTGCGAGGAGTTTTGCTGCGAAGATGGGCTACGTAAAGCCATCTTCGGGCACCACACCAGCGCCGCCAAGACAGTTAGGAGTCGGGATGGTCGCCATGGCCGAAATCGGTCGAATGGATCATCATCATCATCAATAACCTTATTAACTTTAGACAGTGATGGACATTTCCAAACTAGCTTGTTTGTTAAATAAATAGTTTACTCTCCTAATGTCCAGCAGACTGATAATTATTAATTATGTAATAATGCGAATTTAATGAATTTGTAAATAATAAGTCCCATTTGCTAGGACATTGGGTTAACACATTCGGCACTATCTGATGTGTGGCGACTACGTCCCAGATATCACTAGATAATTGTAAATACTTCTTGTACAAATTTAGAGCTAAATACTTTGTTCGTTTTAGCGTGTCAATTTAAAGGCATGGTAGCTTAGGTAATTTTAATAGTAGTTTTTAACGCATCTGCGCCCTTTAGGGTTTACGACACTAATTAAGTTATTTGTAAGACGTAATACAGTATTACAATAATCTATTACGATTACGTATCTATTACAATAATTCTATGGACCACATTTTACATCGGTGAAAGACCAACAAAAGAAAAAAGAAAAGGCAAAAGAAACGCCAACCTTTGTAATGTCTTTCTAGTTAATTGTTTTATTTTCACTTTGTGTTCTGCTTGCTACCTTCAAGGGCAGCCGACCGTCGCGTCGTGAGGATTAAAGGATGAATAGTTTACAGTCAGTCAGTACGCAACCTCGGTACCGGTCGGACGCATTGAAGACCCGTCCTCGCTAAGTATCATCAGTTACACAATATAGTTATCGTCTCACCAGTCTCTGGACTTTTATTCTTTACTCTGAGCTTTCCGACCGCGGCTTCGCCCTGGGTTTTCCCAGAAATTATTCGAATATTTCTCGCCGTAAAAACCATCCGGAAAGAAAAGAAAAATCCTTGAACTTCAACGAACATTTAAAAAAATGTCCAAGCATTGTTGAGTTATGCGCTTACCAACACATTTGGTGTGGTGAAGGTCGCGTAGGCACCTGAATGCGGGCAGCGCAGGACCATCATCATCATCATTTCAGCCATAGGATGTCCACTGCTGAACATAGGTCTGCCCCAATGATTTCCACAATGGCCGGTTGGTGGCCTGCATTCAGCGCCTTACAGCTTTATGAGGTCGTCGGTCCACCTTGTAGGTGGACGACCTACGCTGCGCCTACCGGTACATGGCCTTAACTCCAGAACCTTGCTGGCCCATCGGCCGTCAGTTCTGCGTACTATGTGCCATGCCCATTGCCACTTCAGCTTGCTAATCCGTTGGACTATGTCAGCGACTTTAGTTCGTTTACGGAGCGCAGGACCAGTCGTTGTGGAAATCCTTGGCTTTTGTCCAGAAGTAGACGTCTTTTAGTTGACGGCTTAGCTTACCCCCGGGAAAAACTGACTTGTTTATTGCCTTCGAAATGTTTACCTGCAATGAGGGCTATCGTTTTAGCGCTTACCAGTTAGGGCCACTGTAGAGTAAGGTCCTGTCACTTGCTAGTAGCGAAGACAGTGGCACCAACTGGTGAGCGCTAAAGTGGTAGGAGGACTATCGCATTTGCACTCATCAAGATGGCGACACTGTAGAGTAAGGTCCTGTCAATCGCCAGGGGTGCCAACTGTTAAGTATAAAAACGATAGCCCTCATTTGAGTACCTACTAGCAACCCGGCGCGTCAATATAAACACAACCTTTATGCAATTTTGTTTTGTACTATCTTAATTGTTTTGGAAAACCTTTCCCACGCCTTCTAAATTTTTTTTTTCGAATGTTTAGACTTAATGGGGATGAGCCCCAAATATCCTTTTCTGTATAGAGAGAGACTAAGTATAAAACCTTGGACACGCCAAACCACATGGTCATTCCATTGTCAAACGGGCTAGTCCTGTAATAAGTTGAACCTACTTCGAACTCCTCCTATATTCATTGATTGAGTTTATTGCGGGTCCAATGACAGTTTAACTTTCCGCCGGGTTAAACTTGATCTTCATTATAGTTGGGATTTTATTGGCGGTCAAGCTGTAGATTCTGACTACACAGGAGTTGCAGCGGTGGGGTACGACAGGGAATAGTCCCGTTAGTCCTGTAATAAAAAGTGATTAAATACCAAGTGTAGTAATTCTGTGAGTAATTCTACTCACATTTCTTATCTTGTCTTGTCTGGTATACAATACATAGTGTGTTCTATTCTATCTATCTATATGAGGAAGTAAACAGCTTACTTAATGAGTTTATTTTGACTTATATTGCAAATAATATTGATCTGGGAAAGCAAACACTATAATAGTTTAATTTTGACTAATAGTTTAGATAGTACCATTTTGACTAATATAATAAATAATAATTAGGTTATTGTAAATAAATTGATTAAAGACTAAACATAGTCGTCAACATCTCAAACTTAGTGATTAAAAGTGTAAATAAACAAAATCGCGTTGTTTGGACAGCGATTTAGGACATATTTTTATTTGTCAATATTTAGTTTATGTAGTTCATTAATTCAATAGTTTAGTAAATAAAATTAAGGGGAACGGTTAGACAATGACAAAGTTCTGAATACCTCAGTAAAGAAGTAATTAATTATTAAGGTACACTAATTAAAGAGGAAAGATTGGATTGTATGTTTATTTTTATTTAGAATCCTTCATTATTTCTGATCTCGCCGAGATAGCAACATACTGGTGAATCTTTTACAGTCTCGATATTTTTACAGGATGTTTTACCCATGAATAATAAAAAACATTCACTACGGGACATACTCTGAAATCACAAAAAAACAGTTTATTACAAAAGTTCAATACAGATTGATTANGTTGATCAGAATGTATGTGAAACAGCCGATTTTTTTTGGGACTGAGAAGTTGGTCCCTAGTGAAAGTTCCCTGTAAAAATATCGAGACGGTTACAAAAACATCCAGCAGAACACCCGAGTCTCAAAAGAAGCTTAATTTTGGAAGCCTAGCTTTATCTATCGTTATTTATTTATGACTGGCTGGGTCCGAAGCGCGTCCCTTTAACGATGCCTTAAAATCGAAGAGGCACATGCCTTCGCATAATGCGAAATGCAAATATCTGCAAATGACCTTTCTTCACATAAGTGATAAATTAATTATATAATAAACAATAGTACCTACCTATGCCTAGATATAACGCATCTGGATAGTTCATTTTACGTGTCTATTTATTGGCATTTAACACTAAAGTACCTACTGAAAAATTGTAATATGATGGGATGGCATGGATTACCTGAATCAATTGTGTCTTGATTACAGTAAAATCGTCTATTTAAGTTTAAGTTTCTTAATTATATAATTATCTATCTAAATCTACCACAAAATAATGTGATTTGATACTCCTAGCACTGACACTGTAGACCGCAAACGACAATACAACTGTAAAAATACATACACTCGAAAAACATAACCGTCATTCTGGCGCAGTCGGGTAATAAAATCTAAATGTATATAAACTAAATACATGTCCTTTAATGTCTTTGGTAAAAGAAGATAAGTTCAAACAACATTGAACATCCTCTAGCCGTTCAAAACTAGTGACCAAATGTTTACTTATTATCGTATGGCCAGAAGTGGTGCAAACCATAGTAATCATAAAAGTAACCATTCGTTTAATCTAATGGCAACATGATACAGGTCTAGTTCGGCAGAGATAACGAACCTTATTGGTTTGAGATAAAAGCCATATTGAGATGATATGGGATCGTAAACGTGCGAAACGTTTAGTTCAAGATTTTCAGGTTTTCAGTCGAGCCCGATCCGCCTCAGACACAGCCGCTTTTCCGGCTCCGGGAAAAACAGTCAAGTTTTCCGCGCGGTTTTCAACATTACAAACCCTTTTCATATATCTTTTATATTAATATACATAATTCGTACTTACTCTAGTCCATTTGAAATTATAACCAACTAAGTTCACGGTATTCAATTATCAGAATTCTTAATTATTCAGTGCAAATATTTATATCAGTGAATGTTTATTAGTTTTAATATAAAAATATTTTAAAATCAATACATCTTTACCTACTAATATCAGTCACGAGTTCTAAACTGTAATGAAATCATGAAGGGTGAGTAATAATGTATCTCTCATAATTTTCCGCTTTATTATCATCGCCGAACTTTGAAGAATAAAATAAGAACTTAATATAAAGTTTTAATAAGATGTTTCTATTAACTTCCAAACGGGACACAATGATGGTTACTAATTAAGTTTTAAATTGATTTAGTCGGATCAGTGAACAATTCTTGAAATAAATTTTCCATGTTGTATTTATTTAGTCAGTACGAATTTATGTTAATTTCAAATGAATGGGTTCGCTACTTACGCTTATTTCAAACCGTAAAACGCCTGATGATATTTTTAAGTTAATTCATTGTCTTTGTTTAATGACCACTTTGGGAGTTTCCAATATGCATAATAACGTCGGAGGTTTACACAGATTATACGACTATTGGTGCGGTAGACTATTAGTGCAAAACAAAGTGTGGCTAATCTCCTCTAAAGTATACTCAAACACAATTTACTAGGTAAACTTCCTCTTAATGCAATATATTAGGTACACATAACGTTAACCAAAAATATATCTTAAAACTTTATGGCCATTGCCATTTGTAAATGATTTGATTATTGTCCTCACCGCATATCCCGACTTACTTTTAAGCGAGTCATACCATAGATAAAACAAATTTACTCTGGTCATGCTCAATACTTTATTGCTTCACCACATTAGCATTAGCATCTTACAATTCAAGCAGAACAATGTGAACCCAGTTAGGGCACAGCAACCTTTGGAAGGAGGCAGAACGATAGGCGTTGTTTTACAAAACCACACCTTGTATATGCAGGTGATACCTAATAATTAAAAAAATATTTTAAACCAAATAATGCGAGAAGTGAAAACTTCCTTATTAAATAAAACCATTCATTTCGAATCAAGGGAATGGTCGATAGCATATTTTGTATCTCGGAAGTCGGAAGACACGTTAAGCCTTGTGAAGACACGTTAAGGCTTTTATTTATATCGTCAGTAAGTTCTAACAGTGTGTATGTCAAAAAAATGCATTTTACAGGAGATTGATCGGAAAAAAACACGCGGCGGTCTTTCTTCATCCAATGGCATCAAAATGTTAAAACCTTCAAAAAATTACTTACGCACTGTTAGAACTTCATTGATGACTGCGTCTAGTGAAGGGGCAATTCACATCACATTAATAGTTAGTAATTAGAAGTATTGTATGTTGATTCAGACAATCATTTACAATCCCTTTTAATGTGATATACTTACTCGTATTTTATTTTTATTTTATTTTATATTATTTATTTGGTTCACCAACAGTTAATTACACCAATACAATTGTATAAATCTTAAGAAGAATAGGTACATGTACATGTACACAAAAAAAACAATCATTATGTACACGCTGCTCAGTTTTATTATGCATAATAAAGAATAGGATATTTTTTATCAAAATACTTGGTAAGTACGAAAAAATTCATTTGAAAAGCCCTGCGGGGTGAATAAACGTTTTCAATTTAGGTACCTCTGACAAAAAAATCTACTCTTTTTTTGCCAATGTTTATTTTCAATTATGCTTAGATTGGTTAACTTCTTTGTTTTTTTTTTGTTTTGATACTATACCTACTACAAATAAATAGTGTAATTTATGGGAAGCTACCTAGATTAGATTATATTGTGACTAAGACAAATTCTTAACTAAACTCGTTCGTTATTTTTCAATTAGGGGGATGATTGATCGATTGTATTTTGAGAGTAACGAGTAATAAAATTACTACGCTGGTAGCTATTTTCTAACTTTTTATTTTAAACTAGGTATCCTATCTATTTGACAGTTAAAAATGTAATCGTTCAGGCTTGGCGGGTCCAAGCTTTTATACTAAAAGGTTAGGTTCAATAAAATGAGACAAATCTAACAAGACAAAAAGTTTAAGGGTGAAAAGTCGAGAAGTTATCTTAATATAACTTAGCAAGAATCGGGTATCCATAACAATTAAGATAGTATGACAATACACAAGAATAGAAATTGTTTGTCTTGGCACCGGGTTATGCAGATAAAGAATCCGAAGGCGTTTGCTTAATTTATCTTATGACCATAGGTAGTGATGGCGTGGAGAATAGCCACCCGTTGTTGCCGATGATTGAGGACCTACAAATTATTTAATAATAGGTCATACAAAATTTATTATTGGTAATCGGTACTCATATTTTCAAAGTCGACATATTTCAGAGCGAAATAATTGCAATGTAAAAAAATCAAGTCAATAAGAATCTCTTTAATAAAAAAACTCTTTAGTTACAAGGTAGGGTATTGCTGAAATCTAAAGCTGAAAGTGTCGATGTAGTCAAAGATAGTGCTAATATACCTATCTATACATACTATGTACGTACCTGCCGTGTTTTTTACCCTAAATCTAAGGTCTAATCCTTCGGGGATGACGTCGGCATTTAAGGAACCTCATAAATAACATTGTTGTGTCATATTTTCGACACGATCTAAGAATACTTCAATGACCTTTTACTTATGTAATTTAAGGAAATGTCTTCTAAGCCAAGAAATTAAATTACGTTGAAATCAAATCCGACATTTAAGCCAGAACAATCAAAACTTCCGTGCCCAAATCAGTTTAAGGTTGACTGTGTTATATTTATGCGAGTAGGATGGTGAGCAGGCCGAGATTATAAAGTCCATATTACAAAACAACCTTACCCCAGTGCTGTGGTGTGTATCACTGCATAAGGTTAAAAAAAACGCAATTTTTATTAACGTGTTTGTTATTATTACATCCTGTACCTTTGCCACAACAAAGTGTCACACTTTTAAAATTGCAATAACTTTTTGGCTTGATTTCCTTTTAGGCTGACATCGGTGACCGACGTCAGCGGCGTGCACGATTACACACTAGTTCTATGTAATTATCTGCCGCTGACGACGGCGTTGCAGTGCGCTGCTTCATAGAACATTGTGTTTATTCGTACGCTCGACCGAATAAACACAATGTACTCCCGATTACTTTAAAAAAGTTTAAAACTATAAAACGTTTTCTATTTAAGTCTTTAATTTCTATTGTATTAAAAATTGAAATTTTAAAGATGTTAGTTACAGTTTTGCAAGCCAAACATAAAAATATACTTTCAATATAATTTTTTAATAGAATTTTGACCCCAGCAACACATGCAAACTAAATATCCCCCAGTACCGCATTTCCTATTACAAACGTTTTTTGAAACACAAAGNGAAGACACTTTGCCTTGTGAGGTCGTGAGCTTGTGAGTACTTTTATTTATATCGTCAGTAAGTTCTAACAGTGTGTAAGTCAAAAATATGAATTTTACAGGAGATTGATTAGAAAAAAAACACGCGGTGTTTCTTCATCCAATGGCATCAAAATTTTAAAATGTTAAACCTTCAAAAATTACTTACGCACCGTTAGAACTTCATTGACGACTGCGTCTAGTGAAGGGGCAATTTACATCACATTCATCATCATCATCATCATCATTTCAGCTATAGGACGTCCACTGCTGAACATAGGCCTCCCTCAATGCTTTCCACCTACAAGGTGGTACAGCGTGAGACGTCCACCTACAAGGTGGACCGACGACATCGTAAAGGTAGCAGGGAAGCGCTGGACGCAGACCGCTACCAATCGATCACATCACATTAATAGTTAGTAATTAGAAGTATTTTATGTTGATTCAGACAATCATTTACAATACCTTTTAATTTGATATACTCGTATGTGTGGAGCTTGACTTTATAGCCTAACTCAGACACTAGTACACTAGTCTCTTGCAGTCTAAGCAGCCTAGAATACCTACCTAGCTTATATTGTAACATTTGTAACATAGCTAAAAGATTTCTCAAAAAAACAATCATTGTGTACACGCTGCTCAGTTTTATTATGCATAATAAAGAATAGGATATTTTCATCAAAATACTTGGTAAGTACGAAAAAATTCATTTGAAAAGCCCTGCGGGGTGAATAAACGTTTTCAATTTACCTCTGACAAAAAAAAATCTACTCTTTTTTTGCCAATGTTTATTTTCAATTATGCTTAGATTGGTTAACTGTTTTTTCTGTTTTGATATTATACCTACTACAAATAAATTGTGTAATTTTTGGAAAGCTACCTAGATTAGATTATATTGTGACTAAGACAAATTATTAACTAAACTCGTTCGTTATTGTTCAATTAGGTGGATGATTGATCGATTGTATTTTGAGAGTAACGAACGAGTAATAAAACTACTATGCTGGTAGCTATTTTCTATTTTTTTATTTTAAACTAGGTATCCTATCTATTTGACAGTTAAAAATGTAATCGTTCAAGCTTGGCGGGTCCAAGCTTTTATACTAAAAGGTTAGGTTCAATAAAATGAGACAAATCTAACAAGACAAAAAGTTTAAGGGTGAAAAGGTGAAAAAAAGTTATCTTAAAATAACTTAGCAATAATCGGGTATCCATAACAATTAAGATAGTAGATAGTAGTTGGCGCCGGGTTATGCAGATAAAGAATCCGAAGGCGTTTGCTTATCTTATAACTCAAAGGTAGTGATGGCGTGGAGAATAGCCACCCGTTGTTGCCGATGAATGAGGACCTACAAATTATTTAATATTAGGTCATACAAAATTTATTATTGGTAATCGGTACTCATATTTTCAAAAATTTCAGAGCGAAATAATTGCAATGTAAAAAAATCAAAACAATACTTAACTCTATAGTTACAAGGTAATCTTGAAATTGAATTGAAATCTAAAGCTGATAAGTGTTGATGTAGTCAAAGATAGTACTAATATACCTATCTATACATACTACGTACGTACCCCACCGTGTTCTTTACCCTAAATCTAAGGTCTAATCCTTCGGGGTTGACATCAACAGTTGAGATTTAGTAAGGTAATAGATTCAAATCCGTTCAATTATAATGCTATTGATTTAAGGAACCTCCTATACATTGTTGGGTCATATTTTCGACACGATCTAAGAATACTTCAATGACCTTTTACTTATGTAATTTAAGGAAATGTCTTCTAAGCCAAAAATT